GGAAATTTAATGAAAGTGCTGGAATTTTAGTTTTTCTTTAACTGAGTAAAGAAATATTTAATTAATGTCAACTGCATTTTGCATGAAATTTTTCTGGTTCTTAAATAAACATGTTCACAACTGGCGCATCCACCCTGTAGAATACTATTGGTTGTTGAGTCTAAGACAAATTCAATACCAACAATAGGTTCATATAAGGAATGGAATCTATTGAATTAATTGACTTTTTTTTTTTTTTTTAAAAAAAAAAAAAAAAAATCCCGAATCAAGCAAATTTACCTTAAATCGAGAAGAGACCCGTATTTCCTCTTGATTATAGCAAAATCTGCCTGAGTTAGGCACATTTACAACCCTTGTTTTATATTTTGAGAAAAAGAGACTTGTATTTTCAGGGCACTAAGTAATATGCCAATATTTATGAAACCTCCAGGGTAAACTATAGTTTGAATTTTCCAAAGTATACGGGGCGATATGTCACAAAGAGAGCGTAGTAGAGCTTAAAAATTAAATTTTGGAGTTGAATTTTGCTCTGAGTATACCATTTTGGAATTAGCTTTATTTTGAGTATTTAGGATCTCGTTCCTTTCAAAAGTATTACTCAACTCCTTCCAACGCCATGGTAATTCAGAATATGACTTTACGGGGTCATTCCTAAGGATAGTTTTTTTTTTTAATATTTTTTAACCAGCTCATCGTATGGCTAAACCCAAAAAGTCAGGGAATTTTGTCATTTTTTGTCATGGAAAACCTGGAATTGTCAGGGAATTTCATTCTGAAAATGTTGTAGACACCCTGAATTATTTTTGGCAGCTCTTAAATTGCCGAAAAATCTCGAAACCTCTTTTAACAGGATTTTTGACATGGCGTTTGTGATCCTTCGGCCAGAAGGTGACGTTTCGTCTTCCGACTTGAAAGACGGAGAGACCCGAATCTGTCAGACTATAGGTATTAAGAACGGAAGTTGATCGATTCCGTCACTAAGAACGTTGACCCTTGGAATGAGCATGGCGGCTCGTCAAAAGTCGCTGGGTCTTAATTAGCCGCGGGAAAACGCGAGCGAAAGAGCCAAAAGGCATCTGGAATCCGGAGTCCTGGGTCCCGGCCAGCCAGGGCACAGCACTGCCGTCATAGCCAAGAGAGCAGTAAGTCCACGCTGGGATGAACCTCGAGACCCATAAAAGCATGTGCGAACCATGGCTCATCCAAAAATGCACTTGTACTGCTCTCATGGCTATCACGGCACGGCATGGCACCGCGTCCCGCGAACGCAGCATCGGGTAGCCCCGCCGTGCTAAGGATGAACGCCGTATGAGCCTTCAGATGTTGCCATATTTCCTTTGTTAATGAGCATATTATGAGGGGAAATTGTGAATTTCTCCCCTAAAGTCAGGCAATTTCGTTCGCAATTTAATCTGGAATATATGAAAATTTCAAGGGAAAATGTGTATAACTTCCTTCATAAATAAAGGTTTCCTTCACGAAATGTGGCAACTTTGGAATGTTCATACGGCGTTCTTCCTTCGGACGGCAGAGTCGGTCGCTTATCTTGTAATCCCGGCGCGTTGCGTTGCGTGGCTGCTTTTCGCCGGGGCGGGGGGCGGGGGACCGAGCGGTCTATCGTATCGGCAGAGGCGTAAATAATCGGCAGGGAGACCCAAGTGCGGCCGATAACATTCAATTAGATCGGAACTCGGAGAAGTTCTGGAATTTCGGGACCATCGCCGCCCAACCCGGTTGCCAAAACACCGGCATCCGTTTATCATCAGGACTCTTAGAGCCCTATGGGCTTGAGCCCTTTGGGCTTCTCTTCCACTCGCCGTCTCAGGATTGCCACAATCAGGGAATATCGGGAAGTGTCAGGGAAGTTCAGAAAGTTAGGAAAAACCTGGATATGTCAGGGAAAATGACGAAAATATCAGGAAATAATCGTCCAGTTATTACCTTCATCTACTTTCTCGAGTGGGTTTGACGTTTCGAACAACACAATTTGCCGGAGAACTATTTCTAGCTGTAGCTAGAAGTAGTTTCGCGGCAATAGTTTCCTTAACACGGCAGTGAACTGTCGTGCTAAGGAAAAACGCCGCAAGAACATTCGACGGGGGGCCGACGAAAAATTTGACTTGAGCGGCAAATCGTCTCAACCGATCCCCACTTAACTTATGAACGAGCCTGGGGACCGAAAAAAAATCGATTTAATCGGCGTTTCGCGGTATTAACCTTAGTTCGACTTAGTATATAGGCTTTTAAGTTATAATGTATGTCTTCTTAACAATCCGGCATTTGTTCAATTGTCATGGAAACGTTAGGGAATTTACTTTTCCAAATTCTGTGGCAACCCTGTCCTCTCTCCTGAGTCTCTAAAAGTGTCTTTAGGTTTCAATATTTGTCGATAGGAAGAGGGGTAAATGAAAGGGTTGGAGGCCGGGAAGGGAGTGAAGGAAACTAGCTCTCTTCAACCCCTCAATTAAGTTGCCCTGTATGGATGCGGAAACTCCCCAGCCTGGATTCGACGTTTCTCGCACAAAGAAACGTAACTCCACTTCAAGGTTGCAAAATTGACCTTAATAATACAGTTTTTAATTCGAAAGTATTTGTGCAATTTTTGACGAAAATTTGTCTGATTTTTGCATAAGATCAGAAGAAAAATCAGCGAAATTTCAGTTAAAAATGCCGAGGATTCTCCTGGCAAAAAAACAATTTGCGAGGAGGAATTTAGCAACATTGAAATTTAGATACGCTCTTTTGTGAGGGAATCGACGAATTATCTGACGAACTACCTTTTTTGCTCTTTAGTGAGGATCTGCTGCGCTTTACCACTAGCACGCGATGAACAACGTGGTTTTGCGAAAGAAGAAGCGAGAGTTAGGAATGAAGAGAGGTGCTTTTACGCATAGTGGTGAACAGAGGTCCAAGAACTACTTTCTGAAGCATAAACACTTTTCTGTGAAATGGTCACCTTTTTGTTGACATACAGGCGCTTCATCATCCCCCTCTTTCATTCTCTATGTGTAACTCCCGTAGAAACGATAGCCGGTTCGATTTATAGATATACACACACTTTATAGACCTCTTGAGAGACCTTTAAACACATTTCTTCCTTTTCAAAATGACTATTGATTTGGACATATCATAGCATATCTCGGACAAACTTACCCTTAATTTATTTCGAAATTCAAAAGTAAGAGACATATAAAGTGTAAACGCGATACAACTATTCTCGCAAGATGGATGGTCAGTGGTCACATTGCATATGAAAAATGTAAGACGCGATAGCGTGAGTTGTGAACTCGCAATGCTCTGCTCTAGTTTAAAGCATCATTACAAATAAGACAAACGGAAACAAACTCAACATGGAAATAGAGCGAGGGAAATGATACGCGTTAACGACGGCGCAGAGATACAACTATTCGTACTTGATGGACGTCCGTGCTGCATCTGAAATATTGAAGGCGCGATGACGCGAAGCGTGAGTTCTCAATGCTCTGCTATATGCTGCCAATGAGGTGTCGCTCAGATTCGGGAGGAAAGTTAAAAAAGATGCCCAAATACGTCTTTCTTGTCGTCGGCTGTGTTGATACTCGTTCTTTCTTCTTTTTTCAGGTTCTTGCCTGATTCTTTTCTAGGATGGACTTTTAGACCCACGTCTTAAGCTCGTGTAAACCGCAGCACTGACACGGTTCTTATGGAAATAATGGTGCTTGGATGCGTCTATTGGCTTTAATTTTTTTTTGTTTTTTTTTTTGTTTTCTTTAATTTGAGAAGTCTGTCGGTCACTTCAATACGTTCAATTTTACAATTTTTACTCTGTACGATTAATAAACTTTAATTAATGAACATGAAAATAGCGTAAACTTGTGCTGCTTTGCCAAAATTTTCTGAACCCCTCTCCACGAAGGGGATGCCCCATTAGGAAATATCACATTATGCCCCTTTAAGCAGCCAAGGGTCTACGCCCTCAGATGCGAGCCAGTCCGACCCTGCTCAAACTGCAGAATGTGATGCTTAAAAATGTCGGAAATTTTCTGAGTGATGCTGATGCTTTCCGGTCTCTCTTTCCGTCCCTTCGTTCGAAGTGTCGGGATCCGCCTATGCTGACCCTACAGCACGACTGCGTCAAAAATTAAGTAGACTCATGATAGAATTGATCCTACTTTGGCGAAAGCCAAATTTTTTTCAGTGTGCCGCCCAATGACGTCACAAGGTGGGAAAGCTCTCTTAGAAATCTATTTCTGTCAAACTTCTCGAAACGAACGAAATTGAAAAAAATTCTGTAAGCCTAGATCATCTCCACACGAAGCATTAAAAACTTCATATCGTCACCTTCCAGGCAAAGTATCACAAGCGCCATGCGACGTTTCAAAATTTCCGCCGCCATCTCATTTCTTTACCGAGAAATTGTTGATTGAATCTGTTTGGAAATTTCACTAAATTTTATCGGCAGCACAAAGAAAATTCAGTGAAATTTTCGGACAGCTTCGTTGAACAATTTCTCTGTAAGAAAATAAAATGGCGGCGGAAATTTTTAAACGTCGCATGGCGCTTGTGATACTTTGCCTGGAAGGTGACGATATATACGCTGAAAGAAAAGCTACGGGCTTGTTGACATACCGTCCGTTCCGGGTGCCGGAGCCGCAGTTGCCATCGCTCCGGGTGCTCCGCCCGAAACGGACGGTATGTCAATATAGCCCGTAAGCATGGCTTCCACTGCCGGAGTTTTTTTTCGGTGAGTGAAAGTCCTACAGTACAAGAGAAAGCAAGAGATAAAATGGAAGTAGTATGAGCGCGGGGCCCTCTGCGGCAGCGTAGCAGGTCGCGCTAAATTTAGCGTGATTGACGGGTGTCGAACCCGGGCCCGGGTCCCCGATCGGAAGCGGGCGACCGGGGGGGGGGTGTCGGTGGGGTCCTCGGACTTTGGTTGGAACCTTTGTTTCTTTTTTTACCCGGCGATGCGGCTCAGTTATGCACGGCGTCGATGACACGTTTCCTTTCGTTTGTTCCAGAACGCAAGCTATTTGTGGGGATGCTCTCGAAGAAATGCACAGAGAGTGACGTCAGACTCATGTTCGGCGGCTTCGGCACCATCGAGGAGTGCACCGTTCTCAGAGACCAGAACGATCAAAGCAAAGGTATGTCCTTTTCTCTCACCCTCCTTTTTTTCTATCATAGGTCGAATGGGCTTGTTGCATGCAAGAGATACAGCCGCGCGAATAGACTTTTTAGAGGTTAAATGACACGAAAATTACGATGGTCACATTAAAAAAGTCTGAAATACACTCCTTACTGCGCAATTTGCGTTGTTAGGAACGCGCTTTTTCAAATTTCCCGCGTCTGGGGGCAGTTTTCTAATCACCGGAAACGAGCAAACGGCGGGCTCGGTGATTTCCGGAAGATGCCGAGTCGTTGTTGTTGTTGTTGTTATTTTTTCCTTCAGTTTGTTTACAAACCCAACGTGATCTCCTACAGTGGTCCATATACGCTTTATGCGGTAACCAAATCGATCAACTTTTAAATATCCAACGCAATCCTTCTACATTTCATTTCACGATGTCACGAGCTCCGATTTTTAGGTTATGTTGTCAGTTTTAGTTGACCGGAAATAGCCGCGAGTTGCCGTTAATTGTTTCCGTTAGAAAACTGCCCCCAGACGCGGGAAATTTGAAAAAGCGCGTTCCTAACAACACAAATTGCGCAGTAAGGAGTGTATTTCAGACTTTTTTAATGTGACCATCGTAATTTTCGTGTCATTTAACCTCTAGAAAGTCTATTCGCACGGCTGTATCTCTTGCATGCAACAGGTCCATTTGATACATCAAACAGGTGAGATTCTATCGACATCCGTTGGTTCTACTTGTAGACATAGCCTCGAAAGTCAATCCGGAGACCTGAGGGAACGAGTCTTTTGTGATAGGTGTTTTATCCTTTTGAGTGCTAAAGCCAAAAATTGAAATCCTTAGGAGTTTTCTCATTTTCAGCTTTTCCATACGAAACAGCGAGTATCAAAACGGTTATTGTGGTGCTCTATCAGCACTTGAACCGATGGATTTGAATTTGGTCCCAAGTATTCAGACGTAAATTTCGGAAAATCATGGACAAAAATATCCTAACAGTGGTTATTTTGCTCCAGAGAAGTCTAAGAATTTGGAGGTCAATTTTTGTCTCAACCACATATATTTTTATTTTTTTAAATCCATTCAGATACAGCTCATCAAAAACTAGCAGAATATCGTCCTTTCGGCCAAGGGAGAGCCCAGCGAATTCAGGAAATGTTTCTATTTCTTTTCCATTGATGTTTTTGACACCCTGCATGGGACACGGGAGGTCTGGGGGCGAATTTTGTCGGCTCATCCACACGGAGACGCAACATTCAACGATGAGTCCAAACCGCACCACCTACCAATCAGAAGCGCCAAGCCAGATTAACGTGGAGTCAAGACTCCTCCTGAGTAATATGTTTAATAAAAGTGCGGTGGAAAGGACCGACTTAATTCCCCCCCCCACCCCCCCGTTGCGATCAGTGCGACTTCTCCGTATGTGTGGGCGTAACGTAATGCACGCGGAACACACTTGATACCTGTGGCTGAATTATATCAACAACCGGAGTTATTCACTTTGATAAAGCAAAATGAGCGTGTTGCACATTTCATTTCACAGATTGCGTTCATGAGACCGGTTGCCAAACATAGCCCTCCCGCTAGCTGTATTCACTCGCGTATTTTTAATTTCTCTACTTTCCGCTCGTGTAGATCGGAAAAATGTGTCCAATACAGAACAGCAGTCATGGAAAATCGAATTACCGATAGGGTCTCCAACCCTAGGTCCCCATCGTCGCTATGGAGCCATCTTTAAGGATGCGACTGTTTCGACGTTGAGCAGCTGGTTTTGCCTAGTCGGAAGAATGAAGGCGAACCGAAGGTGAGGGACAGATAATTATTCGCCTTCATCCGCACGGTTAGGCAAAAACATCTTCAAAGTATCGAAACAGCAGCATCCTCATCACTATGATTGACCCCCGTGTCTCATTTTTTCACTTGATTGCATATCTGAATATTCAAGAATACATTTTTAATCCTTTTTGCGCTCTCGTTTTAACTTTTTTTCGCCAATGATCATTACGTGTTCTTTTTACATGATATTTTGGGTAAGTGATCTTGAAAGGACACAAGTAACTCAATCGACACGTCTAATTTCGTCATGCAGTCAATTAAAATATCATCGTCTCAAATCTACATATTTGATATTCCAGTCGCCAGAAATCAAAAGTATTTTTTGAAAAAAGGGAATATTTTCAGTGGTGGTTTGCCGGCTTTAAATGGACCACCTTAAGCAGAAAGGAACCAAGCCACACCAGCTATTGCTGAATGATCGGGCAATTTAATTTTTTTCATGGAAACGATCGTGCGGATTTTTTTGCAGATTTCAGTGACTTTTCTGCATAGTCCAAAGCAAATTCCTTAAAATTTCCCAAGGAATCCGCACAAACGTTCTCTTGTTATAAATTGAATTGCTCGGTTTTTGACAATAACAGATGTGGCTTGGTTCCTTTCTGCTAAACGCGGTCTAAATGTGAAGCTCTCAAAATATATTTATCTCCATTGCTTATAATTCACATTAAACTCAGCACCACACATGAGTCGAGTACTTTGAAGCAAATCGGTTTTAGGGCTCAACTTTCTCGCCAACTTAACTGAATTGAATGTTTGGATGAACTGACGTGAGAATTGGAGCGCTCAAGTGATTTTTCAATCACGGTGCAATTTGTTTGCGGCAGCGTCACAGAGGGAAAGGAAACGCAACTTTCGGAGTTGATTGATGGTGTTGATGAGATCTCGATGATCTGTTTCCTTTATGAGACCCCCCTCGGCACCCTCCTGGGGCGAATCCTCGTCATGCGATAGGTTGGCTCGCAGACGTTCCCAGCGTGGAATAATTACGTATACGCTAATGACTGCTCAATGAATCATTGATAATCTTGTAGATTATCGCCGGCCATTTTTAGTACCGTGGTTTGCTCGGAACGTATGAGCATGTCTTATTTCTGCTCGGACTTTCGTATGATTGCTTTTAATATGGACAAATTTGACCAAAATTAGCATGAAAACCATACTGCCGTGCTGAGGAAAAACGCCGAATGAACATTCGAGAGTTGCCAAATGTCCCTCAATAAAATGTTTATTTTTGAAGAAATTTATGAATATTTTTCCTCGAAATTTTCAGGACCTTTAGATGAAATTGCGAAAAATATTATCTGAAAAACTAGAGCGAAAATATTCATAAGTTTTGTCTTTCCTAATTATCCCTCGTGTTCTAATTTTTACGAAAAATCAAGCAACATTGTAATTTGAAATTTTCCCAGTATATTCTTTACTTAATCAAAAAAAAAAAAAAAAAAATAATGTCCAGAGTGTTTTAAGATGCTGTTTAGTTGTTCGTCAAAAAATAAATTATGAGGGAAAATTAAGCAACTTGAATTGAAGTTAGGTTGATTCTTCTGAATACCATTTGGACCACATTTTGTAATTAGGAACTACGATTTCCGGCTCAGTATAGGAGCAACTTATGTACCATCAGTCTCCCTATGTACATACGTGTTTTTACGAATTAGCCAGATATTATACTTCTTAATTGCATAATGAAGTCCATTTAGAGTCGGAAGTTTTATGAAGGGCAAAATTTTTAACTCAACCAGCAATCAGATGGTAAGATGGTTCTTTGCTCCCCTTGAAAAAGTATTAATCCTTGTAAGTGATTTCGTCCTTGTCAAGGCAGTCTGGGTGGGTCTATATGTAGAGACCCACCCAGACTGTCTAAAAAGTATCAGAAACAAGTAGTTGTTTCTGAAGTTGAAATCACTGAGAGAGTTGAGCTCCCAGTATTTTTTCGAATTTTTATCACTCGAAATTATGAAGAAACCCAATTTTGAAATCACCCGAATCTGGACCTATACTTGCGATCATATTTTTGGCGGTCCGTTATGACGTAGGTAGACGAGGGAGTTTATACAGGGGGGGGTTGTATTCGCTGTTTTGCTGAAGCCCAGCCGAAGACATGACGTTATCGCGTCTGCTGAATTTTAGCTTTTTCTTGCGTTCGGGGTGGCTCTTTTAACTTTTGAATGGACTTCTTAGGTTTTTCATGACATTTTCACTGAAAGCATCTGTCAGACACTCCGCAGGGTTCTTATGCCATCGATCCATTTTGTCAGCACTTCCTTATCGAAAATGAGTATTCGTAGATAAACTCAATCAAGGGCTCCATCTCCTGAACTGATGCCTCCTGACTCCTGGCGCCTGGGGCCAACTTCTGTCAGTCCTTTCCACCGTACTAATATCCTTTGAACGAGTCTCGACCGCACTTAAATCCGACTTAGCGCTTCTGATTGGTCGGTGGTGCGGTTCGGATTCATCGATGAATGTTGCGTCTCTACGTGAAAGAGCCGACAAAATTCGGCCCCAGACAAACTTTTAAGTCCGTACAGCAGTGGTTTTCTTTCTTGGTGCGATCTTTTTTGGTGACGAAAATCAGTGCCCTAAACGGACGTAAAATTCGCTCATGGGGTCAACTGAACCCTACACCTTACGCCTCAGTTACCTCGATCCGATGTTTGCTACTCAAAGTCCATCGGATCTCACGCTCGCTAGACGACCATCCCAGCACACTACCGTGTCAAGGAAAAACGTCGTATGAACCTTCAGGCGTTGCCAAATTTCCTTCGATAATACACGAATTTCTCGGTAAACTTATCAATATTTTTCTCTCAATTTTTCATGTGGTTTCGTTTGCAATTTCTTCTAAAGCTCCTGTAAATTTCTTGGAAAAATATCCACAACCCTCCTTCGGAATGAGCATTTCATCGGAGGTAGTTCGGCTACTCCCGAATGTTGATACGGTGTTTTTCGGTAGGACGGCAGTACAGCTGTCTCGATAAGCGAGATTCATATTTGATGTTGCTGTATCTGAATCTGCGCTCGGCCCGATACCCTGATAGCTTATCGGCGTCGACCATGTTTCCTTCTCGTCCTCGTCTCGTCGTCATCATCCATCACGCGGCGATTCCGCTCAACGTCCACGTCCGTCGTCAGTTCCCGTCGCGGACGAATTGCGTGTCCAGGACCCCGTGCCCAGCCGT